TGGATTGAGCTGTACGAATGAACAGAGAAATAAAAACACTCAGCTAGCAGAGACATGTACATTCTTTGGAAAGAGTTGCTAAGATTTTTTTAAAAGGACAATTGAATGAAAAGCATGGATATTTTCCACAAAATAAAATGGGTTACATATGAAATTTTTTTTTTAAATATTGACACATGTTTATTATTAATGTAACTGATTTTTATAATCTTCTATAATTTGATCTATTTAATCGGGGTATTTAAAAATTGGAACTTTAAATGTATGCGGTGTCCCATATTGTTTCAGGTATTTCTTCTACAACTTAAAACTTCTCTATTGATATTACATAGATTATTGTCGACACCGCACCTCACCCCTAGGCACTAAGTGTGTTGCTACGATGTAGATTAGAGGATATCAGAATAGGTACAAAATGGCACAGGGTACGGTGCAATGTAGAAATAGGTTCTTGTTTGTAGATTTTGTAATTAGGGCATTGACATAAATGTTGTCAAACTTTAATCAGGATCCCAGTTTCGAATGCATTTATTATGTTTTGGTTTGTTTCGTTACTTTTCATTTCGTTTAATCTCGTTACTTTTCAACTTAAAACTTTCTGGGGAAGTGTTCGGTTTATTTAATCTTGTCTCTTCATGTCTGGTCATGTTTGGTCTTGTCTTGTCTAGGTTTGTCTACATTTGTTTTGTATTGTTTTTTTTTAAATTTGTTTTGTTTGTATGGTCAAACTGACTCTCAATAAGTAAGCATACATCCCTTTCGAAGTTTTTAAAAATATTCGTATGATTTAACAAAATAAAAGTAAAAATAGTTTTTTAAGATTAAACTCAATATCTCATTTATAGTGTAAACAAAATGTTCTTATATGCAAAACTTCTTCCTTAATAAAAAGCAATTTTTCACAAAAAAAAGTTGCTTTTATTAAGGAAGAAGTGTATTATTTTAGTATTATGTCTGCAAATAAGAACATATAAGAAAAAAGATATCATTGTAACACATTTTAAAATATATTTTTGTGAGTGTTGTAGATCTAGAGGTGGGTAGGGGTCCATTTTTTCCGTTCTTTCAATTATATCATGTTTCTTTATCTGCTGTTAGATTTTTTATTTTTAATAATGCATGACCCAGACGCTCAATAAATTATTAACATTTAACTTTCAGTTTTGCATATCTTTTTAAAAAAAAGTTATTTTTTAGAAGCCTGTTGTAGTTTTACCGCTGAATATAGTAGTACCCCTTACTCGCTATGCAGGACGCTCGATTAACGGATGCCAAGTGCCAAAATAGTCGCTCTAAAACTCTGGGCGCCAAACCGTGTATTGACGAAAATTGTACCTTACATGGCGCCGCCCATAAAAAACTTTAGTTTTCTTTTTCGCAGAATTATTCTCGGGAGTATTCTTATCTGCTCCTTAAAGTTTCATGGCACTCCGATGAACCGCATCCGAGTTTTATTTTTTATATACCGGGTATAGAGAAAAAAAACGCTCCCCCGGGTGCACCGCCCTTGCAATATTAAAAAATAATATTTTGCAGAACCATTGAGTGATCTAATTATTTCCCAAAAGTTTCATGGTACACGAATGAACGGTGTGAAACCGAAATAGACTTTTATTTTTATAAACCGTATATAGAAAAACACAATTCGCGCCCTGCCGTGGCGCCACCCTTGCGAATTTGAATTTTTTTTGCGCAGAAACCTCCCCAGGAATATTCTAAACAGCTTCTCAAAGTTTCACGGCGATGTAATGAGAGGTGAAGTAATGCATAAAGGACAAACAAACAGACAGACAGACATACATTGCTTTATATATATATATATATATATATATATATATATATATATATATATATATATATATATATATATATATGGATGTAGAACAAAAGGGCAACATCCAAAAAGCCGACAGAACATAAGGCTGACAGACCACAAGGCCAACAAACCATTAGGCCGACAAACATAGAAAATTAAATACATTTTTGTACTTATGTCCTAAACAGTTTTGCTAGAATGGTCTATTTCAATTATTCATATAGTTTTGAGAAAGGTCTATTTCAATTATTCATTTAGTTTTTTTTATATTTCATGTTGATTCAATCTTTTATTTAACTCTAAACCTCATGCGGGCTCTGCCTCTCATGAAAAAAACACAACCAACTAACGAAATGCTGGTAAACAAGATGATTTTTGTGTGTTAATTTTGAATCGCTTGGATTTTAGAGGCGTTGGTAAAATAGGTCCCTACATAATACGACAGTTGCTTTTAAAAGAAATATTCCACGTAGACCTTTTTAACGAAACCTTGACATGTCGAGTTTACATACAGTTAAACCCACTATGTCTGTTAGTTTTACAATCCTGCAGGTATTTCATACACTCTCTTAAATATCACCTGTGAGAATCAACTAAACTCCCAGAAAATATTACTTACGTCCATCTAAGCTAAATGAGACAATATAGTATACCCCAACAATTTATATCTATCACACACACATTATACGAAGACTATGCATGTCAGGTAATCCACAAATGAAAAGTAATAAACACCCTTACAGTGAAGACATAAGAGAGACATGGATGTATGCTTTCGCCTTTAATATTCTTAATGGTAATGCAGAAGAACAGGCTGGAGGGTTTGTATTTCGATGATGAAACACTATCTAACAAGCAAAAACATGCACAAACCAAGCTGAATTGACTATCTTAATTGTGACTTAAGTTCCACAAAGATAAAAACAGAGCCCATCAGCATTGCTATATGGTCCGGAGACCTGGAGGGTTATCAAGTCAAGTACAGTAATTGTTCACGAACAGATGTTTGCAACAGATCATCAAGATAAGAAGATCAAATGAAGATCTATGTTAAGCCACAAAGCAACAGCTAATTGACAGGGGTATTAAAGCCCACAAATGGGGATGGACCTGGTACTTACTGAGAAGGGGACAGCATCGCGATGCAAGCGTTAAACTGGAACTCCAAGGGGAAAAGAGACGTAGGCCGACCTAAGCGATGCCACAGTGGATATTGTAAGGAGAAGCAACAATAAACTAGACCTTACAATAATGTGACAGCTTGCTGTTAAGTAAGCATTTACCTGTAGCTGAGGTTTACATAAAACACCATGCAATTTATTTTAAGTGGAGCTATGTTAAATTATCGAGCCTCATTTCTTAAAATAGATCATTTAAAATAATCACCTCGATGAACCTTAAGTAGATTTGTCCAATTAGAAATACCACATGCAATCCTGATTCAATTATGACCTCCACTTATTGCCTCGAAGTATTTGTGATGACACGTATCGACCATTAGACATTGCCCTCGAGTGAACATATTTTACTTTAAGCTGGATTGATAACTTACCTTGTTAAAATCAACCAATAGAAATGAGCCTCGTTTGATAACGAATATATAAAAGGTGTCTGTAAAAGATGAACCAACAATAAAACTCTGTTTTTAATTGTAATTTATCTTTACACTATACATTAAGTTTTATTTTGCATCAATTAATAATTTTATATATTGAAATCATTTTCTATCGATAATGATAAAGTAGTTTACAATAAAAGTATATGATGTTTTTTTTAGTTTTCTGGTTAACGAAAAATTAAATAACTATCTTAAAAATTGTTTTTATGAATAATAAACTATTAAATGTATTAACTCAGTGCAATATCGTTTTGCTTTAGAAATAACACAAATAAATGATATTCTTTAGTATTTTTGCAGCTCCTTAAAATGAAGCTCGTGGTTCTCTTTCTTCTGGTATGTCTTGCAAATCTCGTGGCTGTATCCGAAAGGTAGGTTACTTCATATTTTTTCAACTAATGTCATTGTAAACAAATTTATTTAGATTAAGGTATAACCTAAATTTTAACCCACGTACCTTACATTGATAAATTTTCAGTTTTCACTGTACACGTTCAAACAATACATTTTTTTATTTTTTTGATCAAACAGTTGTATAACAACTAAAATTAACAACAAATTATTACTTGTAGCTTATAGCTTTATTTTGTTACAATTGATCTATGTATCCACTTACAAATTACGTTTTTATTATATTACGATGCATTTAATTTTACGATAAATACTTTCTTCTCCTAAAATAGTTGTTGTACAAACAAAAATCCATGCACTGGACACGATGATTGTTGCGACGGTTATTCTTGCAAATCATCTGGGTAATGAATTATTTTCATTATTTAAAATTTAAAATTTCATCTTGGGGAAAAATTAGTATATTTAAATAGATGGCTTAGCTGCCTTTGGTTTCACACCCTAAAATACAAGTTGAGGCTTGGCGACCCACTCATGCCGCTCCAGACACCCCTCCCTAGCAACGCCACTGAACACAACTTTTCAGAAATTGTTGTAAATAACGCTACGCCACTGATCACAACTTTGAAGAAATTGTTGTAAATAACGCTACGCCACTGATCACAACTTTGAAGAAATTGTTGTAAATAACGCTACGCCACTGATCACAACTTTGAAGAAATTGTTGTAAATAACGCAACGCCACTGATCACAACTTTTAAGAAATTGTTGTAAATAACGCAACGCCACTGATCACAACTTTTAAGAAATTGTTGTAAATAACGCTACGCCACTGATTACAACTTTTAAGAAATTGTTGTAAATAAAGTTCAGTGTAGGGCCCGAGCGAACAGCTGTATATCGGCAGAAACTTAACAAAGCGTCAATACTGACGTATTGCCCATCTGCAAAGTTGTCTCTCTCTCAAATATTCCACTAACAATAATTACATCCAATCACAGACAACTAAAGTTGTAAAGCTGGACGCGTCAGAATCACTACAGCGCACTGTCAATTATATTTTGAACAAATTATTCAAACATTTTTTATTAAAACTCCATTAATTTTTCTTTATTTTAGTGAATCCGGGGAAAAGAACTGCAAACATATAAGAAAAATAGGCTAATGAGAGCGGAGCTGAAATATTTAAGTATTGTTTGTGTATTTTTGTTTTATTCATTTTAAAATAAAGTTTATGTCTATATTTGTAATTTTGTTTGTATGTTTATTCATCAAGCAATCTTGATAGATCTAAAACCGGTGTTTTGTTCTGACATTTTTCTACGGGAGACAATTGAATATATATATATATATATATATATATATATATATATATATATATATATATATATATATATATATATATATATATATATGTGTGTGTGTGTGTGTGTGTGTGTGTGTGTATGTATCTAATATATAAAGTTCAATTCTGTATTTTTGTAATATTTTTGTCGTGGATTTCAAAGGAATATAAGAAAAAATAATACTTCCATGGATTCAAGTGTTAGATGTCTAAAGTGCTCATGGTCTAAACCAGAAGCGTAGCGAGGGGGGGGGGAGGAAATATGTCCCCGGGCGCCGACCTTAAGGGGCGCCAAAATGGGTTGGAAAAATAAATTGAAATGTTGAGGAGGGTGCAAATCGAAAGTTTGAGGGAGGGGGTCGTTCAAATCGTAATCTTGAGGGGGGTGCAAATCGAAAAGTTTGTCCCCGGGCGCCGGGAAGGGTCGCTACTCCTCTGGTCTAAACTTATGAGTTAAAAAATTAATATTGAAATCGAATTAATATTGAAAGTCTTTAAAAACAGTTTTCGTTTTGCATACTTAAAATAATAATTTTTAATATAAACAGTAGATAAAATGTAAAAAAAAAAACACAGAGGTCACAGAAACAAATGCATGACCCAGACGCTCAATAAATTATTAACATTTAACTTTGCATATCTTTTTTAAAAAACTGGCTAAAAAACTGGCTAAAAAACTGGCTAAAAAACTGGCTATTATTTAGTATTAAATTAAAATTATGAAAAAAAAATTATCAGGTTATAACCAGCATGTCGACCAATAAATGGCGTGGCTTAAAGTAATCGGCTCTTGTTTGAAATAAACATTGATAAAGTAATCTTGCAATTTAAGCGTTTTTAACATGTATGCGGTGTTTGGTCTTGACAACACGTGTTTTCATAATGGAGCTCCGTGGTTAAGTTGAACTACATTGATAAATCCTGCAGATTAGCTGTTTTAAAAGAATGTTTGTGAATTATTTATTTTTACAAACTTCCTCGTGCTTAATGCTTTCAGCAAGCTTTAATTTAACTTGCTTCCTCTTTGTCTCTCTGTCAAACTTGTGTATGTCCTTTGTCGTGGGTCGAAACGGATGACCGAAATTTTGACCACGTTTATCGGACCGACTTCTTTCAAACTTTCACTTGGTTCAAGACGCGATGAAAATGCATTGTGACTGCACATTTGACTTAGTTGGATGCTTAATTAATTTTTAAAAATTAGTTGAAGTTTTCTCTATAATTATTTTATTTTAAACGCGCAATATTTTTTTTTATTTGGCCATGCAATACTATAAATACAAATGTGGGTCACTAGATTTTGTACAGAATACTTGATGCCCTTCTGATTTAGTTTAGGATGTTGATATGATTTAGTATCAATCTACGTAGAAGTAAATCGACCTATGCATTTTTTGTCATTTAAAATACAGTTGTTTGCTGAAGAAAGAAACTCAGGTACAAGAAAACTAATTAACAGATTTAACGAACCTTTTTCCTGCTCAATTACAGAAACCTATGGTCAGATTTTTAATAAGTATAAAAGGGTCAAGAATGAATTAAATATAACATAATGGATGGTACAGAATGTATACGAAGTCGATTCCTGAGCTGTATCGATACCTAGACGACGTATTAGTGTATCTATACCCGGTTTGTACTCGAATATCTTAAATAATTTCTAATTTTAGTCGTGAAAATAAGAAAATAAATAAAACAAAAATGCAATTGTAAGACGCTATTACTAAATTACGCTATTACTTTCGAATGTGTTAATTGTATGACACACTTTATTGTTTTTAGTCACAAGACTCAAACGGACAGGATAATAAATTCGACTAGACCTATTTATGTTAATAATACATTCTAAAATAAATTTTGTGAGGGAAAACTGTGAGGGAGTAGCCTACTGAACCAGCTGGTTGAATTATTTTTTTATTCATTTCTCCATTCATTTCTCAAGCACAGCAAAACTGTCTATAGAAAACAATAGTCGACAAAATTACGAAAGAGAAAGAAAGTTAAATAACAGATTGTGAAAAAAGTTAAAGACGATGCGTAGTTTGGAAAATGGATGTGGTATGTTGTTATATGCAGGCTGACATCTATTGCAGTGAATGACGCGAAATAAGAATGTGTTTCCTTAGCTATTTGTCGTACTATGAAGGTTGTAGGTGCTCAAGTTATAGGAGGGATGGAGTTTGTTAAATGTGATGGTATTGGTTGGGATTAGAGGAGGGGTGAGGTGTGGAAGGTGAGATATCCATGATCATGGTTAGGCAATTACTACCTATCACTTGCCTAAAGAGGATCTTACAATAGTGTGACAGCTTGCTGTTAAGTACGCATTTACCTGTAGCTGAATAGGTTGAAGTTTACCAAATACACCATGCAATTTATTTTGAGTTGGAGTTATGTTAGATTGTCGAACCTCGCTTGTTAAAATAAATCAATAAAAATTAACGTGAGGAGCCTTGAGTAAAATATGTGTCCATATCAGAAGTGTCACCTACACTCATGATTCATGTTATGACCTTCACTTTTTGACTTGAAGCGTATCATCTACTTTCACTGACTTATGGTACCGCCTACACTGACTGACTTAAGGTACCACCTACACTAACTGACTTATGGTACTGCCTACACTAACGGACTTAAGGTACCACCTACACTGACTTATGGTACCGCCTACACTGACTTATGGTACCGCCTACACTGACTTATGGCACCGCCTACACTAACTGACTTATGGTCCCGCCTACACTGACTTATGGTACCGCCTACACTAACTGACTTATGGTACTGCCTACACTGACTAATGTAACGCCTACACTAACTGACGTAAGGTACCACCTACACTAACTGACTTATGGTACCGCCTACACTAACTGTCTTATCGTACCGCCTACACTGACTTATGGTACCGCCTACACTAACTGACTTATGGTACCGCCTACACTAACTGACTTATGGTACCGCCTACACTGACTTATGGTACCGCCTACACTGACTTATGGTACCGCCTACACTAACTGACTTAAGGTACCACCTACACTAACTGACTTAAGGTACCGCCTACACTGACTTATGGTACCGCCTACACTAACTGACTTAAGGTACAACCTACACTAACTGACTTAAGGTACCGCCTACACTAACTGACTTATGGTACCGCCTACACTGACTTATGGTACCGCCTACACTGACTTATGGTACCGCCTACACTGACTTATGGTACCGCCTACACTAACTGACTTAAGGTACCACCTACACTAACTGACTTATGGTACCGCCTACACTAACTGACTTATGGTACCACCTACACTAACTGACTTATAGTACCGCCTACACTAACTGACTTAAGGTACCACCTACACTGACTTATGGTACCGCCTACACTGACTTATGGTACCGCCTACACTAACTGACTTAAGGTACCACCTACACTGACTTATGGTACCGCCTACACTGACTTATGGTACCGCCTACACTGACTTATGGTACTGCCTACACTAACTGACTTATGGTACCGCCTACACTAACTGACTTAAGGTACCACCTACACTAACTGACTTAAGGTACCACCTACACTAACTGACTTAAGGTACCACCTACACTGACTTATGGTACAGCCTACACTAACTGACTTATGGTACTGCCTACACTAACTGACTTATGGTACTGCCTACACTAACTGACTTATAGTACCGCCTACACTAACTGACTTAAGGTACCACCTACACTAACTGACTTATGGTACTGCCTACACTAACTGACTTATGGTACCGCCTACACTAACTGACTTATGGTACCGCCTACACTGACTTATGGTACCACCTACACTAACTGACGTATGGTACCGCCTACACTAACTGACTTAAGGTACCGCCTACACTGACTTATGGTACCGCCTACACTAACTGACTTAAGGTACCACCTACACTAACTGACTTATAGTACCGCCTACACTGACTTATGGTACCGCCTACACTAACTGACTTATGGTACCACCTACACTGACTTATGGTACTGCCTACACTAGCTGACTTATGGTACTGCCTACACTGACTTATGGTAACGCCTACACTAACTGACTTAAGGTACCACCTACACTAACTGACTTATGGTACCGCCTACACTAACGGACTTAAGGTACCGCCTACACTAACTGACTTATGGTACCGCCTACACTAACGGACTTAAGGTACCACCTACACTGATTGACTTATGGTACCGCCTACACTAACTGACTTAAGGTACCGCCTACACTGACTTATGGTACCGCCTACACTGACTTAAGGTACCGCCTACACTGACTTATGGTACCACCTACACTAACGGACTTAAGGTACCACCTACACTGACTGACTTATGGTACCACCTACACTAACTGACTTATGGTACAGCCTACACTAACTTATGGTACCACCTACACTAACTGACTTATGGTACCGCCTACACTGACTTATGGTACCGCCTACACTGACTTATGGTACCGCCTACACTAACTGACTTATGGTACCGCCTACACTGACTTATGGTACCGCCTACACTGACTTAAGGTACCGCCTACACTGACTTATGGTACTGCCTACACTGACTGACTTATGGTACCGCCTACACTAACTGACTTAAGGTACCGCCTACACTGACTTATGGTACCGCCTACACTGACTTAAGGTACCGCCTACACTGACTTATGGTACCACCTACACTAACTGACTTATGGTACCGCCTACACTGACTTATGGTACCGCCTACACTAACTGACTTATGGTACTGCCTACACTAACTGACTTATGGTACTGCCTACACTAACTGACTTATAGTACCGCCTACACTAACTGACTTAAGGTACCACCTACACTAACTGACTTATGGTACTGCCTAC